AAGCGGATGTGGAACAAGGGATATCATTGCTGATGTCAGCTAGAGCTTGGCTCAAAGCAAAGAATCCCAGAAAAATGCTTATTTTTACTTTTTAAAAATAATTTTATTGGGGGCTCATACAACTCTTATCAATCCATCATTTCAAGCACATACTTTGGTTGCCATCATCATTCTCAAAACATTTGTTTTCCACCTGAACCCCTGGCTTCTTTGTATTTTATGGACTATGCCATGGCATTCGACTGTGTGGATCCTGACAAACCATGGATAGCCTTGGGAAGAATAGAAATTACAGAACATTTAATTGTGCTCAAGCGGAATTTATACATGGTTCAAGAAGTAGTTGCGCAGAGCGTGGGAATACTGCATGGTTCAAAACCAGAAAAGGTGTGCATCAGGGTTGTATTTGTATACAAATAGTTTGAAATTCTGTCAACGTAGCGACACGTTTCGAAGGTCATCAGAGAAGGGAGGGGTAAGAAAATACACATTTTGAGTTCTCCCTTCCATCACTGTCAGGCTGTCATGGATCAAGGTGAATGGCAGAACAGCGCTGAGCCCTAAATGACTATTTGTTCTTTTCTTAACAAGTGTAGTCTGCCGCCTGCTGGGGATGCCAAGAAAATGGAGATAATTTAGGTAGAGTGGAAACAGCGAGCCGGTCCGTTCCAAGCAAACCGCAGTGTGGGCTTGCAACCGGGTGCTCGCCTGTGGGGCATCCACCCAAAGCTCCCGGCTTCAGAGCTGCCGCAGCCGGTCTCGCGTAGGCCCCGCGACGCGCGGCGGAAGGACACTGCGCACGCGCACGAGCAGGCCGCGGCCGGCGGAGCGCGAGAGCGGAGGTGCCCTTCCTCGGGCCGGCCTTCGGCTCTGTCCGAGGATCACTTGTCCCCGCCCCGTCCGCGCCCGGCCCGACTGCGCGCGCAGCACCTTCAGCCGGCGCCGGCGGGAAAGGGAAGCGGCGGGTAAGGAAGTCGTACGTCCCGGGCGCGTCTCTGACGGGGTTGGGCACTCGCTCTTCGACTCGCTCAGAGGAATGAAAGGGGTCTCCGGAGCCGGTTCCTCCCCGCCTTTCTTCCTGCAGCCTGCGCCCTCCTTCCTCTGACAGCGAGGCGTTTCCGCCCTCCCTGGGGCCTCGCTTGGCCGGGACCGCGGGGCCTCTCCTCCCCGCCCCCGCCCCCGCCCCCGCCGAGGAATCCGCAGGCTGCGCCCCTGGCCTGTCTGTTGTTCCCTCGGCGGTCTGAGGTGCCAGCGCCGGCATTTCGATAGCTCGGGGGTGTTTTTGCGCCCTCGGTGTCGCCCCGGCTCAGGGCCCGCGCTCCGGGTCCAGTGTCCAGCTCTAGCGCAAAGAGCCTCGTGCTTTCGATGCACCTGCCGATTCTTTCAGACATCCATTGTGAAGCACCTTCCAGATGCCCTCCGCCCTGGGTTCAAGCCACCAGACGGACCCCTTTTTACTTCCTCTGGGTATCCCCACCATTTTCTATCACCTGACTTCGAAGTTGGGGGTCCCTTGAGGCAGGCCCCTTTCATCCCTGTGCAGTGTGTGCTCCAGAATTCTTTCCCTTCGGAAATTAAAGAGCCCCATAGAACCATGTACCTCCTGACAGAGGAGCAGTCGTGTCAGCCGCTCCCGTCACGCAGCTTTCCACAGTGCCTGCTATGCTACTACAGTAGATATCCAGTAAACTCTTCAAAGTAGGAGGTGTTACTTTATTTTAGCCCAGTGCTTGATGCTTGGAAGACAGGTGTGCCCTATAAACAGCACTAGGGTCCAAATTCTGTGAAAGGGAGAAATCTAAAACAGAAAAAGCCCGACAGCAATGTCATGTTTTAATAATATCTGCAGGTCAAGTTTCTAGGTAGAAACAAGTTAGCGTTGTTTTTAGGTGCCAGCTAAACGTAATCCATTAACATACTGTAGATGTTACAATGACTCAACCACATTTCTCTTAGGTCCTGGATATTCATGATAATCCCCTTAGTTATTTTGACTTTGTTGAATTTGACTCTGAATATATAGTGTAGCTTTCCCCTCCCCCTTTTCTTTCTAACCACCACCCTCACCATTTCTGTAGGCATTCTTATCAGTTGCCCTTATGCCTAAACTTAACGCCTTATGCTTGAAACATTAGTCATCTTAGCTACCCCCTGAACTTCATATCCACAATCTTGTCTATTAACACGTCTCATGGTTTCTTTATTCAGAAGATAACTTGGGTTTGCCCTGTTGATTCTCGTAGTGAAGCTGGAAAGCTCTTTCTTATGATTTCATTACTTCCTAGTCCATTTACTTGAAGGCCCACATATGGCTATTGTATACTTTTTATGAACCTGTAAAGCCTCATGTCCAAATTTCTGTACCTGGATTTCAAAGCCATTTCTCACTAACCGTACCTATGCAATGTGATATGAAAAACACAGCAAAACAAAAAATAACCGAGATAGAAAGTAAGAAGACCAAGATTCAAATACTGATACCAACATTATAGTAACACTATATCCTTGAGGAAACTTCAGTTTCCTATCTTTCATTTATGCCTCTTAAATAAGAGAATTACATAGTATATGGAAAAGCTAGCAGAACTTAAAAAAAAAAAGACAACCTAAACTAACACTGATTTCTTACTGTCCTCATTCATTTTAAGCTTGAAATCCTAAAATAATAATGCTACAGATGTAAAAGATGCCCTTGCTCTTAAGAGACTTTTCCAAGACATTTCAATAGTGTTTGTGTGTGTTTATGTATATATTGGATGGGCAGTATAGTGACAGGGTGGAGTGGAATGTGGGTTGTAATATATGCACTATAGATAAACTTAGGGTAAACACCAAAGAGAATCACAGAAAAGGGTTCCTAGAGGAATTTATATTTGAAAAATCTTAAATTATAATGATGATTTAGAGCAGTGGTTCTCAATCTTAATGCCGTGACCCTTTAATACAGTTCCTCATGTTGTGGTGACCCCCCAACCATAAAATTAATTTCTTCTCTTTTTTTAATCATTTTATTAGGGGCTCATACAACTCTTATCACAATCCATACATATATCAATTGTGTAAAGCACATTTGTACATTCATTGCCTTCATCATTCTCAAAACATTTGCTCTCCACTTAAGCCCCCGGCATCAGGTCCTCATTTTTTCCCTCCAGCAACAACCCTTTATAATTTATATATTATTATTTTAACATATCTTGCCCTGTCCGACATCTCCCTTCACCCACTTTTCTGTTGTCCGTCCCCCAGGGAGGGAGTCACATATAGATCCTTGTAATCGGTTCCCTCTTTCCAACCCATTCTCCTTTTACCCTCCCAGTGTCGCCACTCACACCACTGGTTCTGAAGGGATCAACATTGCTACTTAATAACTAATTTTGCTACTGTAACGGGTGACCCCTGTGAAAGTGTTGGTTCAACCCCCAAAGGGGTCGCGACCCACAGGTTAAGAACTACTGATTTAGATGGAAGAGGAAGAGCAAGAGGCACTTTCATGGAAGTGCAAATTGTTAGGCTTTGCTGTAGTGTTACTTTCAAAGAGGAATATAGGAAATGGAACTGGATAGGTAGTTGGGGTGAGGTTTGAAGGGTCTTTTTTTTTAAACAAAAATGTACAATTTTATTTACTTTGCTATAAGTTTAAATCCATGAGGGACACAGCATCACACAGATTCTATGTCCAATAGCCTTAGCAGGCAGGTTGCCCCAGAATTTGGCCCGAAACATGCCACTGCTTCCATGGACATGAGTTAGCTTTCTACTGATGAATGACTCTGGTTTTGTTAGGTTTGCCACCAGGAGTCACTGTGTTATTCTTTGCTTCGTTAACATAAGCACATCTCTTGCCTAAGTAAAATTCCGTTTCATCTCAGGCGTAAACACCTTCAATATTAAGAAGAGCCGTGTGCTCCCTCTGGTTCCACAGACCCTGTTTATAGCCAACAAAAATGGCCATGGACCACAGCCTTCCAGACACACTTGCCATTTATAAGTCCTGTTCCCAGCAGGCCTCCACAGGCTCCAATGTGGTGGGTAAAGGGCTGAAGGGCTTTGTGTACTATTGGAAGTCATTGAAAGATTTTAAGCAAACAGTTGGACTGAACATATTTGCTACCTCCACTCCATACTCTTATATTTTTGTACTTAGTATTATGGTTATATTTTTGCTGCTATCACAATTAATTCCTAAAACTTGTTCATTTCCCCAAATAGAAATTCTGTACTCATTAACTCATTTTCCACAAACCCCTCGTAGCTACTAACCTGCCTTCTATTTCTAGGCATTTACCTATTCTGAATGTTTCATTTTATATAAATGGAATCATAGAATATTTGCCCTTTTGTTGCTGGCTTATTTCATGTAATGTTTTCAAGGTTCATCCATGTTGTAGTATGTATCAGAACTTCATTTCTCTTTATAGTTGAATAATATTCCATTGTACATAGATACCACATTTAGTTTATCCATTCCTCTGTTTCCTGTTGGGTTCCTACTTTTTGACTATTGTGAATAATGTTGCAGTGAACATTGATGTACAAGTATCTGACCCATGCTTTAAATTCTTTTGGGTACATACCTACACAATTGCTTTTTTAAAGATCATTCTGCCCATATCATGTATGCTTCCTTACTACAATGTACAAAACCTTTTCTCTGCCTCTATATCTTGTTTTCTGTACTCCTTACAGAAGGGCTTATGTCCTCTTCTAAAACCTTAGTACTATTGTTATTTCAGTACACATTCAGGTCTCATTTTTTGGTGACAAGTTTTCCCCAGTTATTTTAGCCCTCACTATTTATTTCCTGGCCTGAAACCATATTAGGAATAGTATCATACAATGTAGTCCTTATTTGTTTCATGGGTTTAATATCCCTAAGTAGATAGCAATTCCTTTGTTTCATGTGTGTATGAGTGGAGACATGTTACATATAAAAAATGCATAGCTTGATCTTTTTGTGTTTTCTTTTTCAGGGTCGATCAGATTATGAGCAAGAGTTCTTTTAATTATTAGATCACCATCATGGCTAATGAGGGCAGTCCCAAGGCTGATGATAGTCCTTTTACATCAGATAAGCATGCCCAGTTCATCATGGCTCAGATCAATAAAATGAGGAATGGACAGCATTTCTGTGACGTGCAACTACAAGTTGGGAAAGAAACTTTTAAAGTTCATCGACTGGTTTTGGCTGCCAGTAGTCCCTACTTTGCAGCTTTGTTCACTGGTGGAATGAAAGAGTCCTCAAAAGATGTTGTACAGATTCTAGGAATTGAAGCTAGAATCTTTCGGGTACTTCTAGATTTCATTTACACAGGTATGTTAAATGAGCCTGTTGCTTTGAGTGAAGAATGATACAATTGTTCATGAACTGCTGGGGGAATATAAATTTGTCTTATTTATATGAGACAGGGCAGTAGTGGTTGACTGGTAGAATTCTCACCTTCCATGTGGGAGACCCAGTTTCTTTCTTGGCCAATGCACTTCATACCCAACCATCACCTATCCGTCAGTGGAAACTTGTGTGTGGCTATGATGCTGAACAGGTTTCAGCGGAGCTTCTAGACTAAGACAAACTAGGAAGAAAGACCTGGTGATCTGCTTCTGTAAATCAGCCATTGAAAACCTATGGATCACAACAGTCCAGTCTGCAACTAGTCATGGGAATGGCACAAGACTGAGCAGTGCTACTTTCGTTGTTTATGGGTTGCCATGAGTCATGGGCTGATTCCACTATAGCTAACAGCAACAGCAACAAATCATATGGAAACTAATTTGGTACTATGTTGTTATGAGCCTTTGAAAAGTTACTTTTTGACCCACTATTCTTTTCTAGGAATCTTAATTAGATATGTGGATAAATAAATACCATGTTTATTATAACATTACTTACCATAGTACTTTATATCTATATAGTATATAATTGTGAATATAATTTCCATGATAGGTTATGGTATATAAATACATTCTGTGTCTATTTTATTTATGTAAATAATAAATATTATTTAGACCTTTCAAATGATTTACATATGAAAAATATTTCATGAAGAATATAGTAAATGAAAAAAATCAGAATGTAAATATCCCTATTTTGTTAAAAAATAGTAATTTTGTATATTTGGAATGTTGGCAATGTTTACCTGTAGGTGATAGATATAGAAAGATTCTTATTTTTTCCCTATTTTGTTTCCCCCCAATGTTTATCATTAGCATGCATTATCTTAATGGAAACTTTTACTTAAAAGTATTTTTGAAGAGTTTTAATGACATGAGAAAATGTACTTGAGAACTAAATATACATGGAAGAAGCACACCAGCCTATGCAATCACGAGGTGTTGAAGGGATCAGGTATAAGGCATCATCAGAATAAAAATGTTACCATAGTGAATGATGGGGGGAGTGCGCAATGGAGACCCAAAGCCCATTAGTAGGCCACTGGATATCCCTTTGCAGAGGAGTCTCGGGGAGGAGATGAGCCAGTCAGGGTGCGATGTAGCAACAATGAAAAATACAACTTTCCTCTAGTTCCTAAACGTTTCCTTCCCACTCCCACTATCATGATACAAATTCTACCTTGCAAGTTTGGCTAGACCAGAGGATGAACACTGGTACAGATAGGAACTGGAAATCCAGGGACTCCAGGGCGGATGAGCCCTACAGGACCAGTGGTGTGAGTGGCAATACTGGGAGGGTAGAGGGAGAGTGGGTTGGAAAGAGGGAACCGATTATAAGGAACTATATGTGACCTCCTCCCTGGGGGACGGACAACAGAAAAGTGGGTGAAGGGCAAGATATGACAAAACAATAATTTATAAATTATCAAGGGCTCATGAGGGAAGCGGGGGCCAGGAGGGAGGGGAAAAATGAGGACCTGATGTCCGGGGCTTAAGTGGAGAGGAAATGTTTTGAGAATGATGAGGGCAATGAATGTACAAATGTGCTTTACACAATTGATGTATGTATGGATTGTGATAAGAGTTGTATGAGCCCCTAATAAAATGATTAGAAAAAAAAAACCTAAATATAAATTATAAGTGATACATAATACAAATATGTGCAGAAAAAAAGACTTAAAAGAAATACACTGAAGTGCTGATACCATGTATCTTTGTTTATAGAAAAATGTGTGATTTTCTGTATTTTGATGCATTACATTTTTTTCTATAGTGAGTATTTATTACCCTTGTGCGGATGGCATGGACTGGGCAGTGTTTGGGTCTGTTGTTTGAGGTTGCTATGAGTTGGAATCAACTCGATTGGCACCTAACAACAGCAACATAGTTAGAAAAAATGTTGGAAAACTAAAGACAATTCTGTCTAGTTTTGAGAGTATGCTGTGTTCTCTCCTTATGTTACTACTTGGTAGGAAATAATTATATGACCACCTAAAGCAGTGGTTCTCAACCTTCCTAATGCCACGACCCTTTAATACAGTTCCTCGTGTTGTGGTGACCCCCAACCATGAAATTATTTTCATTGCTACTTCATAACTGTAATTTTACTACTTTATGAATCGGGCAACCCCTTTGAAAGGGTCATTTGACCCCCAAAGGGGTCGTGACCCACAGGTTGAGAACCGCTGTTCTAAAGCATCATTTTGGTTTTTTTAAAGTAAATGATACTTAAACTTGGAAAGTAACAAAAGAAGATTACCTTCTCTGCTACATATTTCTCTTTGGAAAATTTCAGGAAAATTATTCTTAATTTGGGGGTTATAAAAATGATTAGCTACTGAAAATAATTCAGCTCTTCCTAATGACATATATAAACTTATATGGAGGGGTTCTTGACATCATTTTCAGAATGACTTGTTGAGATGCGTAAGTACGTGAGACGAAGTCTTGCCATATTTTTCTCTAAGGAGCAGTCTGGCTGTACTTCAAAGACAGATTTGATTATTCTTTTGGAAGTACATGGTACTTTCAGTATTCTTCCCCAGCACTATAATTCAAATGCATTGATTCTTCTTGATCTTCCTAATCCAATATCCAAGTTCGTGATTAAGTGTTAACTGCTGACCGCAGGATCAGCTGTTTGAAATCACTTGCTGCTCCATGGGAGAAAGATGAGGTTTTTCATTCCTGTAAAGAATTGCAGTCTTAGAAATCCACAGGGACAGTTGTAGCCTGCCCTATAGGGTCATCTGGAATCAACTTGATGGCAGTGAATACAAGGCTTATAGTGAGGACTTCTTGAATATATGAGAAATTAATACTTCATATGTATTAATATATATGATTGAGTATATGAATTATAGAATTGATATATGTCTAGTTCATTGTTAAGTGCTTCATAAGTGTTATTATCATTAAACTTGGGTGTTCTTTGTAGAAATCTTCTGTTGCCTTTTTATTTAGAAAACATTAAGCAATTTGCAGAATTAAGTATGCTTCTTGAATATCCTGTCAATTTTTTATTTTATTTTAATGGCTATTTTGTCTCTCTACTTCCCTAGGTATAGTGAATATAGGGGTGCATAATGTCCAGGAGCTGATCGTTGCAGCAGACATGTTGCAGTTGACTGAAGTTGTTAATCTTTGCTGTGAATTTCTGAAAGGACAAATTGATCCGTTGAACTGCATTGGGATTTTTCAGTTCTCTGAGCAAATTGCCTGCCATGATCTTCTGGAATTCACAGAAAACTACATTCATGTCCATTTCTTGGAGGTTCATCGTGGGGAAGAGTTCCTGGCACTTACAAAAGATCAGCTGGTTAAAATTTTGCGAAGTGAGGAGCTTAGCATTGAGGATGAATACCAGGTCTTCTTAGCTGCAATGCAGTGGATTCTGAAAGATCTGGGAAAGAGAAGAAAACATGTAGTAGAAGTTCTAGACCCAATACGATTCTCTTTACTACCTCCTCAGAGGCTTTTAAAGTATATAGAAGGTAATTTTCTGCTATATATATATATATATCAAATTAGTTGGTTAATTATCCAATTTTTTTCTCCATTTGAAATGATAGTTTTATTTCTTAAGTAAATACTGTAGGTATGATATAACTTGTTTTTGTTGTGGTGGTTGGGAAGTAGTAGTTTTTTAGTATGCCTGCCCATTATTTTAATCAAATCCTTACATACCTTTCTTGGCATTAATACTAAGAGATAGTAATATAGGTAAATAACTGGCAGAGCTAGCAAATCATTGCTACTGTTCATGGTACTAATTATTTCAGTAAAAGATTTCTTCTCACCCTGAAAAATCCAGCAGATCCTAACATTTAGGGAAAATGCTGCAAACAAAACTAAAACTGAATAAATTCAGTAAGTCTTCTCACTATAAAACGATTTCTGTATTGATATATCATAGATTATGAGTGAATAAAAACATCTTTATTTTTTACTGTGAATTGGGCGAAGGTTTACAGAGCCAGTTTTCCTTTCAACAGTTCACACACATTTTGTTTCAAATCATTGCTTGCAGTCCCCACAATGTAGTATCCCTTATTCCACTGCCTCCCTGTATTTCCTGTTCCCATTCCTCCTGCTTTCCCAACTCTTCTAAACTTCATTGTTGGATAATCGCTGCTCATTTGATCTCAAATGATTGGTAATTCTAAGATATGTGTACCTCTCAGTGTTATTATTCCCTTAATATACCTGTCTATTTGGCTGACAGTTGAATCACTGAGATGAGATTAGTTTAGTTTCAGACCTGAAGAGAAGTCTATATCCAATTAGTTAGCTTGTTTTTTTATGTGATGAGTTCTGTTTGTTTGTTTTCTCCATTCTATCCAGGACCTTCTAATGTAATCCTTTTCAGAGCAGTTGGTAGTGGAATCCAGACACCATCTAGTTCTGGTCTAATATGAGCTGTGGAGATTGATGCTTGTGAAAATATTTTTTTTTAAGATTAGATTGCTAGCTTTTCTCTACTCTTCATGGTGTTAACAGAATTTGAAAGTTTTTTCTGTGGGATATCTTATTTAGTGCATATATTTAAATGCTGAAACAGAGAGAGAAATTATTGAGAAATTTAGGGGTGGGACAGAAAAGGCTTTCATGGTTGAACTGGCTTTTCCCAAAAGTGGCAGATAGAGTGACAAAGATCCTCTGCTAGAAGGAAGAAGCATGTGTTCCCACAGCTTTTTAGTTTTACGTAAATCTTGTACTGGTTATTGAGCATGCTTAAGAGTTAGCAACTAAAAGTTTTTCACTAGAATGAAAACTGCAGTGAGTCAAGGAAGAAATCATGGGAGACTTTTTTTCCGCATCATGATAATTTACCTGCTCACTTGAGGGTAACAAGGACTGCCCCCTTATCTCATCTTTCGAGTAAGTGATGACTTTTGGTCTCATATGGATATATTTTTTTCACTGGATTATCATACTTACAGCCTTTGTTTTGAATGCCAACCTGGTAGTGAGTTTGGTTTTGTGACTTTTCTGATATTTTCCTATACGGTCATCTCAGGATAGTTTGGTTCAAGGTTTTAAGAGGATCTCAGCACAGTCATGTTGGAATCTTCTAGTCTTGACTGGTCCAGTTACGTTTGGACTTTTTAAGATTTGTGCCGTGCATTTTCCTCCTCTTCTATCAGAGTTCATCTAGTGGGACTCTGTTGAGAATGGTCAGCAGTGAGTATCAGCTAATTCTTTTGGTATGAAAGTAGATAAAGCTGTGGGTCGTGTAAGCTCTAGGCTTGTTCATCTATGACTTTGGTTTTCCTTCTTTTTTTCTTCTAACTAGTTGAGACACAAGCTTTTTTTTTGTTTAATCTTTTGGGGGCTTGTACAACTCTTATCACAATCCATCCATCCATCCATTATGTCAAGCACATTTGTACATTTGTTGCCATCATCATTTTCAAAACATTTTCTACTTGAGCCCTTAGTATCAGCTCCTCATTTTTCCCCTCCCTCCCCGCTCCCCTCTCCCTCATGAACCCTTGATGATTTATAAATTTTATTATTTTTTTCATGCCTTACACTGATCAATGTCTCCCTTTACTCACTTTTCTGTTGTCCATCCCCCTGGGCGGGGGTTATATGTAGATCATTGTGATTGGTTCCCCCTTTCTACCTCTACCTTTCCCTTACCCTCCTGGTTTGACTGCCCTCATTATTGGTCCTGAGGGGTTTATCTGTCCTGGATTCCCTGTGTTTCCAGCTCTTATCTCTACCAGTGTACATCCTCTGGTCTAGCCGTATTTGTAAGATAGAATTGGGATCATGATAGTGGGGTGGCGAGGGGAAGAAGCATTAAAGAACTAGAGGAAAGTTGTGTGTTTCATCGTTGCTACACTGTATCCTGACTGGCTCATCTCCTCCCTATGATCCTTCTGTTAGGGATGCCCAGTTGTCTACAGATGAGCTTTGGGTCTCCACTCTGCCCTCTGCCTCATTCACAATAAGATTTTTAGTTCTTTGATGCCTGATACCTGATCCCATTGACACCTCTTGATCACACAGGCTGGTGTGCTTCTTCCATGTGCTTCTTCCACACAGGCTGGTGGGCTTTGTTGCTTCTCAGCTAGATGGCCACTTGTTTATCTTCAAGTCTTTAGGACCCCAGATGCTATCTCTTTTGATAGGAGGGCACCATCGGCTTTCTTCACCACATTTGCTTATGCACCTCCTTTGTCTTCAGCGATTGTGTTGGGAAGGTGAGGATCATGGAAAGGCAGTTTAATAGAACAAAGTTTTCTTGTGTTGAGAGTACTTGAGTAGAGGCCCAGTGTCTATCTGCCACCTTAATACTAAACCTATAAATATATGTACATAGATCTGTTTCTCCATCGTCATATATAGGTGTATTTACATACGTACATGCCTGTATTTAGACCTCTATAAATGCCCTTTTCCTCCTACTTCTTTCCTCTATTTCCTTGCACTTTCCTCTTGTCCCACTGTCATGCTTAGCCTTCATTTGGGTTTCAGTAATTACTCTCGGTTATATTGCCCTTGTATCAAGCCCTACCAGGCCTCCTACACCCTCCTTGCCTTTGATTTTGGATCACTTGTTGTTCCCTTGTCCCTGGGTTTGTTAACACCCACTTCCTTTCCCCAACCTCCCCCTCTCATGTTCCCCTGGAACCATCAGTCCTGTTGTTTTCTCCTTGAGATTGTTTGTCCTGCCTATCTTATCTAGATAGGTCATCAGATATAATAATATGCACAAAAAACAAGGCAGAGCAAAACAAAGTAACAAAAGTAAAAAACAAAACAAAAAAGAAAAACCTATAAATAGTTAGAGATCTGTTTGTTGACCTTTAAGAGTGTTTTCTGGTTAGAGTCTGATGGGGTGTGACACCCTGGCCCCAAAGTCTATTTTTGGTATTCCCTGGGGGCTTCGTTGCTCTGCTCCCCTTGCTGTTCTGTTGTACGCCCTTAGTGTTATGCATCAGTGTGGTGGGGTCAGATCGGGTACAACTTAACTGATCATATTTGAGGTCCTGAAAAGGAGGTGGTCCTCATCACACCATAGTCTTGTGTCTTGCTTTGTCATTTTAAAAAGTTTATGATATAAATCTTTTTTTGATAACATAACTTTTAAAAATCATTTTATTGGGGGCTTGTACAACTCTTATCACAATCCATACATCCATCCATTGTGTTAAGCACATTTGTACATTGGTTGTCCTCATCATTCTCAAAACTTTTTCTTTCTACTTGAGCCCTTGGTATCAGCTCCTCATTTTTCCCCTCCCTCCCTGGCACCCCCTCCCTCATGAACCCTTGATAATTTATAAATTATTATTTTGTCATATCTTACACTGTCCGATGTCTCCCTTCACCGACTTTTCTGTTGTCCATCCCCCAGGGAGGAAGTTATATGTAGATCCTTGTAATTGGTTCCCCCTTTCTACCCCACATTCCCTCCACCCTCCCGGTATCACCACTCTTACTATTGGTCCTGAAAGGATCATCAGTCCTGGATTCCCTGTGTTTCCAGTTCCTATCTGTACCAGTGTACATCCTCTGGTCTACCCAGATTCTTATAACTTTTGGACAAGTTTTGAACAATTTTTTTTTTTTTAGTATTAGGTTGTAAGAATTGAGTATTTATTATTTTTGAACTTTGATCAAGTATTTGATCCTGTTTCATTTTAAGATCTTTATTTTAAAGTTCTCATATGTTTTCAACTTTAATATTGTGAAACATGCTTTTTGAAAGAATCTCTTTTAAGATTAAAAAATACTGCTAGGCATAGATAAAACATTTAGCCTATCAACATTTTTAAATGTGCAATTCAGTGACTTTATGTACTTGTATAATCATCCCCTTCTTCCTTTCCAAATATTTCTATCATCTTTAATAGAAACTATTTGGTAGATTTAAGGAAAGTATATATTCTCCAATAGCCATGAGAAAAATAATATTTGGGTTATATGGGAAATAAACACATCATTGTTTTAGGATCGGTTTTTATTTCTCCATTGTTGGATGTTGCTTAGCTTTATAGAAACATTGTCTTTTCAATATTGTTTAAAATATTCTTTTAAACATTCCTTAGGCGTGTCTGATTTTAATCTTCGTGTTTCATTGCAAACACTTCTGAAAGAATACTGCGAAGTGTGCAAATCTTCCAAAGAGAACAAGTTTTGTAATTTTCTGCAGACCTCTAAGGTTCGACCTCGGAAGAAAGCAAGAAAGTACCTATATGCAGTAGGTGAGAGCTTTTTAAAAAGTAATAGAAGTTACATTCACTATCAAAGCCTTATATCTTAATATTGTGCTATTACTATACATTTCAGAATATATGTGTGTGCAATAGGCCTATTTAATTTTGCATAGAATATAGATTTATAATTGTGTTCCTATATTATGGCAAACACAAAAATATCTGACATTCTGCAACTTAAGTGTCTGGCTTTTAGATTATTTAGTTATTATCTAATGAAAAAAAGCTAAAAATTTGAATTCTAGCTTGAAATAAAACTAAACAAATTACACATTTTTAAGCTGTTCACAGTGTTATAGCTCTAAACCATTTATTATGAAGTATTTATAGTAGATATTCGGGTATTATAAGCATGTTTAGCTATGAGATTCGCATTCCTTTCTTTGCTCAGGTGGATATACTCAACTGCAGGGGGGTCGCTGGAGTGAAAGCAGAGCTCTCAGCTGTGTAGAACGCTTTGACACCTTTAGCCAGTACTGGACGACTGTGTCTTCACTGCATCAGGCTCGATGTGGGCTGGGAGTAGCAGTTCTGGGAGGCATGATTTATGCTATTGGAGGTAATGATAAAGATGTCTTCTTTGCCATATTCATCTCAGAACATGGCTATCTTCTCTGGACTAATAACTTAGTATTTTAGTATTTAGTTTTGTTGTAATTGATTCTGTCTAGGTGGTTGTGTTGTAATCCTGTAAACCACAAGAACCATTTTTATTTTTTAAATTGTTTTATTAGGGGCTCATACAACTCTTCTCACAATCCATACATACTTCAATTGTGTAAAGCACGTTTGTACATTCATTGCCCTCATCATTCTCAAAACATTTCCTCTCCACTTAAGCTCCTGGCATCAGGTCCTCATTTTTTCCCCTCCCTCCCCTCTTCCCCTCCCAATGAACCCTTGATAATTTATAAATTATTATTTTTTTCCTATCTTGCCCTGTCCGACATCTCCCTTTTCTGTTGTCTGTCCCCTAGGGAGGAGGTCACATGTAGATCCTTGTTAGCGGTTCTCCCTTTCCAACCCACTCTTCCTCTATGCTCCCAGTATTGCCACTCACACAACTGGTCCTGAAGGGATCATCTGCCCTGGATTTCCTATGTTTCCAGTTCCTATCTATACTAGTGTACATCCTCTGGTCTAGCCAGACTTGTAAGGTAGAATTCGTATCATGATAGTTGGGGTCAGAGGAAGCATTTAGGAACTAGAGGAAAGTTGTATTTTTCATTGTTGCTATGTCGCACCCTGTCTGGCTCGTCTCCTCCCTGAGACCCCTCTGCAAGGGGATCTCCAGTGGCCTACAAATGGGCCTTGGCTCCATTCTGCACTCCCCCGCTCATTCGCTATGGTAAGATTTTTTGTTCTGATGATGCCTGATACCTGATCCCTTTGATACCTTGTGATCACACAGGTTGGTGTGCTTCTTCCATGTGGGATTTGTTGCTTCTGAGCTAGATGGCCGCTTGTTTACTTTCAAGCCTTTAAGACCCAAGACACTATATCTTTTGATAGCTGGGCACCATCAGCTTTCTTCACCACATTTGCTTATTCACTCACTTTGTCTTCAGCGGTTATGTTGGGAAGGTGAGCAACAAGAACCATTTTTAAACCTTTTAAAAATATCTGATATAGGAGGAAGGGCAAAAAAAGAGCTGATACCAAGGGCTCAAGTAGAAAGAAAATGTTTTGAGAATGATGATTGCAACAAATGTACAAATGTGCTTGGCACAATAGATGGATGTATGGATTGTGATAAAAATTGTACAAGCCCCCAATAAAAAGATTTTTTTAATCTGAAAAAATTTGTTTAATTATTATTTTATTAATAATTTTTGGGGGGGGCTCTTACAGTTCTTATAGCAGTCCATACATCAATTGTATCAAACTCATTTGTACATATGTTGCCATCATTTTGGTGTTTTTTTTAAATCATTTTTTTGGGGAAACTGGAGAGTGGTTAAAGGTTGGAGGGAGTCCCTGGATCTCTTCCACTCAAACACTGTTGAAGGAAGGCACAAATCCACAGGACCACAGGAGGAGCTTAAGACTGCAAATCTCTATGGGAATAGAAAGTGTCATCTTTTTCCTGGCAAGCAGCCGGTGGTTTCGAACTGCTAACCTTCAGTTAACAGCCCAGAGTATAATCCAGTATGTCACCAGGACGCCTTAAAATGTCAGATATGCCCCTCAGGACCAATAATGAGAGTATTGATACCTGGAGAATAAGGGGAAGGTGGGGGAGAAAGGGGGAGCCGATCACAATGATCTTACATATAACCCCCTCCCAGGGGGATGGACAACAGAAAAGTAGCTGAAGGGAGACATCGGTCAGTGTGAGACTGCGATGATTGTAGCCTTGGAAGACTTGGGGTACTTCTATGAGCTGGCGAAGAAGCGAGAGGGGCCGAGCGTATCCTGAAGCTGCAAAAGCAGCCCAGCGGCCAGGCACTCTTCCAGGATGTACAGAGCTTTCCCGAGATGAGCGGGGTAGAACCCTGGACGCCACGGAAGCTGCCCTGGCCCTGGAGAAGACCCTCAACCAGGCCCCTCCTGACCTGCACGCCGTGGGGTCCACTCACGCTGACCCCCATCTCTGTGACTTTCTGGAGAACCACTTCCTGGACAAGGAGGTGAAACTCCTCAAGAAGATGGGCGACCACCTGACCGAATCCGCAGCCCGGCCAGCCCCCAGGCCGGGCTGGGCGAGTATCTCTGAGAGGCTCACCTTCAAAGGACTGGGAGCCTGCGGAGCCCACCCACCTGCTAGGGGCCCTTTGCCTTCCCCTGCCGGCCTTTGCCCAACTACCTGAACCTGCCCCTCCAGCTGCAGCGCCACCGCCCTGGAACCCCTCCCCCAAGCCGGGGACCAAATGGAAACAATAAGGCTTCCTTTTGCAGCAAAAAAAAAAAAGATTTACAGTCTTGGAAACCCACAGGGGTAGTTCTACTCATTCCCATAGGGTCCTCATGAGTCAGAATTGACTTCATGGCAGTGAGTTGTTTTTTTTTTGAGAAACATGTATTTGTACTCAATAAATGTTATTGCGATTGGTTAATTTGTTAATTTTTTATTTTGGGTGTGAAATAAAATATAGTAAAATATATAGACAAATAGATGAATATTTCTATAATGTGATAAATAATTGAAGAAACTTTTAGGACAATTGTTTCCCTTTGTTTTATGCTTTAACTATCTGTATAGGTACTTTCTTAAGCAATATCCTTAAGTTTGCCTACTTTTATGCGTTATCTAAATGACTATATAACCCAGTGGTTCTCAACCTGTGGGTCACGACCCCTTTCACAGAATGACCATTTCACAGAAGTCGTCAGATTCATAACAGTAGCAAAATTATGTTATGAAGTTATGATGAAAATAGTTTTATGGTTGGGGGTCACCACACTTGAACTGTATTAAAGGATTGCGCCATAAGGAAGGTTGGGACCTACTGATATAACCATCCTTGCTGTTTTACCCAACCTAATGTTTCTGAGATATGTTCATGTTGTTTCAGGTAGTCCTTGCTATACAGTTTTTTTACTGTATACCATGTTCTATACTGAAATTGTTAATATGTTCTATTGTGAGGCATTTGGAATTTTTCCAGGTTTTTTACTATTAACAACAATGGTGCTGTCAAAAATCTTGTATGTATACAAATTTCTTTGCAGTGAACCTACTGGTGGGAGTCAAATACTGCTGGGTCATAATGTATTCAGATGGTCAGTTTTATTAGACAATTCCAAACTATTTTCCAGAGTGGTTGTGTCATTTAAAACTTTGACCATACTTTTGCTAACTCTTGGTATTGCTATACTTAATTTTGTTTGCTCATTGTTAGAGCTGTAGTGATACCTATCCTGTGGTTTTAATTATACTTATCTGATATGATGGAATGACATTGAGTACTTTTTCAGTGCTTTTTTGCCATTTGAGATTTTTTTAAGGAGTGAGTTTTCAGATTTTTGGCTCATTTTAAAAAATTGTATTATTATTTGTAGATGTGTAAAGGATACCCAAGAATATCCCCATTTAGGTGACTTGCTAGAAGGACTCAGCATTTTTTGGTTTTTATAGCTAAGATTTCATATAGAGAAAAGATACAAAACAAAATCAACGAAGGGAAAAGGCATCTGGCATGAAGTCTGAAGGAAATCAATTGAAAGCTTCCATTATCCTGCCCCATTGGAGTCACACGGGTTTCAGTGAGCATCCAGACCAAGAAGAGAGATCTGCTGATGTACTTCCTAAAGTCAGCCAGTGAAGATCCTCTGGGTCACAGTAGACTGCTCAGCAACCGAACATGGTGATTGCGCAGGACCGAGCAGCATTTCTTGTGCTTGTGGTCACCATGAGTCATTGGCTCGATGGCAGCTAACAATAACAAAGAACCAGTTTCATTTTCCTCCATGTATAGGAGTCTAGCCAATTTTCCCAGCACAAAAGAGTTGTTTCTCTGCTGCTTTATAATGCCAATTATTATATATTAAAGAATCATCGATCTGTGGGTTGGGTCTGTTCATAGAATTTCTTTTCTGTCCCAGTATTTTGTTTGTAGCTTTATTAAAAGTTTTTATTTAATTTCTGTTCCAGTATTTTGTTTGCAGCTTTATTAAAAGTTTTGATATCTGATAGGCAGCTTCTCTCTATTATTTGCTTGCGGTGTATGGCTATTCTAAGTCCTTTGCTTTTCCATAAAAATTTTACAATTAACTTATCCATTAAAAAGCGATATTTTGATCTAGCTCAGAAGCAACAAACTCCACATGGAAGAAGCACACCAACCTGTGCGATCACGAGGTGTCAAAGGGATCAAGTATCAGGCATCAAAGAACAAAACATCCTGTCATAGTGAATGAGAGGGGGAGTGCGGAGTGGAGACCCAAAGCCCATTTGTAGGACACTGGACTTCCCCTTACAGAAGGGTCTCGGGTAGGAGACAAGCCAGTCAGGGTGTGATGTAGCAATGATGAAAAACACAACTTTCCTCTAGTTCCTAAATGCTTTCTCCTCCCCAACTATCATGATCACAATTCTACCTTACAAATATGGCTAGACCAGAGGATGTATACTGGTACAGATAGGAACTGGGAATCCAGGGTGGATGATCTCTTCTGGACCAGTGGTGCAAGGGCGATGGCAAGATACTGGCAAGATACTGGAGGGTGGGTTGGAAAGGGGGAAGCGATTACAAGGATCTACATGTGACCTCCTCCCTGGGGGACGGACAACAGAAAAGTGGGTGAAGGGAGACAGACAGTGCATGATATGACAAAATAATAGTTTATAAATTATCAAGGGTTCATAAGGGAGGGGGCAGCAGGTAGGGAGGGGGGAAAATGAGCTGATGCCAGGGGCTTAGGTGGAGAACAAATGTTTTGAGAATGATGAGGGCAATGAATGTACAAATGTGCTTTACACAATTGATGTATGTATGGATTGTGATAAGAGT